ATCTTTTATCTTTTGTTTTTATTTATGTTCCTTCTTGTTTTGCCATAATTATTTCCTCTTATTTTAGGAAGGTTTAATTTCAAATTTCAAAGCATTTTGAATTTGAAATTCCTTTCCTAATTTAAGAGATCTAATTTTGGAAAGTTCCTAAATTACGTTCAATTTGAATTTTGAATTGAATTGGATTGAAAGTCATTCCTTCCTAATTTGATTTTTCAAATCAAGGAAGAGTAATGGTTTTCTCTCAAATCCCTTCCCTCTTTGGATGCCGCCGGCCTCCACATGGTCCCCACCCCTTTCTTTCACCATTCAAGCTTTGTTTCCTAAATTAGATTGAGGTGAATTTGGATAGATTTGAAACTCAAATTTAATTGATTTGAAATTCAAAATCTTTTCTAATTTATCAAATCTATTTTAGGAAAGTTCTTTAATTAAATCCATTTGAATTTCAAATTTAATTTCAAATTCAAATAGGATTTATTTAAACACTTTCATAAATCCTAAAGCCTTAAATTAAGCACCCAAAATCACCTCCCCAATCTCCTCCTCTATCATTAAACCACCGGCCCCCTTTCTAATAAATCCTAGGATTTTATTTCCTAAAATCCCTAATCCCTCTTGGAAAGAATTCAAAACCCATCCACCTCACCTGGCCGAAATTCCTCCCTATGCATCCACCTCTTTAAACCTTTCCAAACTCATTATTGTACTAGGAATTAAATCCATCCCCTTCTTCCCCTGTTGGCCGAAATTTCCCAAGTCCCTTACACTAGATTTCCTCCATTAAATCCTCACAAACTTCATCCATCGTGAAGTCTTCTACCTCCTAATATTGCTACCAGGGAATACCGACCACTGTCCTTGCATCCCCACCCTACGGAAGTCTCAAAACTGCTGTCCTGCACTGTTGGAAGTCTGAAATTGTTGTTCAAAGGATGCCAGCAGCCTATAACAACTACCCAGGGTCTAAACAAGAGGTTGAGTTTGCTGTTTAGAATTTCCCAAGTGCCAAGAGCTGTTCTTCAGACCTCACGAGTTTGTTCTTCAGGACCCATAGGACTCAATCCTCCTACCCGTTGTACATCAGTTTGGTATCAGAGCATGGTTGCTCACCCGGGAAGAGAACTCGACGGAGTCGAGTCTTTTCCACCCTGGTAGAATGATGCGGACATCTAACCGTCCATGCCTATCCGAGGAGCTGAAGATCGACGACCGAGATCACTTTGTTTTATTTTAGTTTATTAAGTGTATTTTGATTTAATTTTGTAATTTTCCTTTTTACCCTCTTGTCTTATCTAAGCCCAATGGGCAAATGTGTCTTTTAATTTCTTTTGAGGCTTATATATAGAGGCCCCTTCTCTTGTATAAGGTATGATGGAATTATAATAAAATTTGTGTTTTGCTGGGAACAACGTTAGTGAAATCCCTATGGGAGGGAGTCGGAGTTTCCACCAGCCGCAGGATGGGTCCGAGCTCTTGGCTTGAAGTCCCTTGGAGGAGGGCAACATATCACCCGTCAGTCTTCGGAAGAGTCCAAGGCTCGTTGTTTTATCTTTTATCTTTTGTTTCCTTGTTGTTTCTTGTTGTCATCTTCATCCTCTCCTACTTCCACCATCACGTCGTCTCCTCTCTCACCCCTAGCTGCCGCCCTCATCATCCTCCTCCTCCCTCCAAAACCCAAATTACATCTTGAATTCTTGCCATAATTATTTCCTCTTATTTTAGAAATGTTTAATTTCAAATTTCAAAGCATTTTGAATTTGAAATTCCTTTCCTAATTTAAGAGATCTAATTTTGGAAAGTTCCTAAATTAAGTTCAATTTGAATTTTGAATTGAATTGGATTGAAAGTCATTCCTTCCTAATTTGATTTTTCAAATCAAGGAAGAGTAATGGTTTTCTCTCAAATCCCTTCCCTCTTTGGATGCCGCCGGCCTCCACATGGTCCCCACCCCTTTCTTTCCCCAAATTAGATTGAGGTGAATTTGGATAGATTTGAAACTCAAATTTAATTGATTTGAAATTCAAAATCTTTTCTAATTTATCAAATCTATTTCAGGAAGGTTCTTTAATTAAATCCATTTGAATTTGAAATTCAAATAGGATTTATTAAAACACTTTCCTAATTTCTAAAGCCTTAAATTAACCACCCAAAATCACCTCCCCAATCTCCTCCTCTATCATTAAACCACCGGCCCCCCTTTCTAATAAATCCTAGGGATTTATTTCCTAAAATCCCTAATCCCTCTTGGAAAGAATTCATAACCCATCCACCTCACCTGGCTGAAATTCCTCCCTATGCATCCACCTCTTTATACCATTCCAAACTCATTATTGTACTAGGAATTAAATCCATCCCCTTCTTCCCCTGCTGGCCGAAATTTCCCAAGTCCCTTACACTAGATTTCCTCCCTTAAATCCTCCCAAACTTCATCCAACATGAAGTCTTCTACCTCCTAATATTGCTGTCCGGGAATTCCAACCACTGTCCTTGCATCCCCACCCTACGGAAGCCTCAAAACTGCTGTTTTAGTAAAACCTGCTGTCCTGCACCGTTGGAAGTCTGAAATTGTTGTTCAAAGGATTCCAGCAGCCTATAGCAATTACCCAGGGTCTAAATAAGAGGTTGAGGTTGCTGTCCAGAATTTCTTAAGTGCCAAAAGCTGTTGTTTAGACCTCACGAGTTTGCTCTTCAGGACCCATAGAACTCAAACCTCCTACCCGTTCTACATCAAAAAAGATATGGACTTAAGGCTGATCCTTGATGTAATCCAACCTAATTAGGAAAATACTTGGTCAAACCACCTTGTGTTTGAACACAAGTAATAGCTCCTGCATACATATCTTTAATAATTTGAATATAAGCATTATTAACTCCTTTCTTTTCAAGAACTCTCCATAGCACTTCTCTTGGAACTTTATTTCTCTAAATCAATAAATATCATATGTAGATCCTCCTTATTCTCTGGACGTTGAATTTTTTTTTCTTTGGAACAAAAATTCTCCCTTGTGGTGTTGCGGCGTTCCAAGTACAAGCACTATGACACTCCAATTAGGCGCTGCGGTGCTAGATAATCAGTGTTGCGATGCTTGGACATGGCGCTGCAACACTGCAATGAATTTTCTTCCAATTGACCACTTCATAGAGAATTTCCTAAAAAAAACAACTTGAGTACTTTTCACACTAAATTTCATAATTTAAACACTTTTTAATTCAACAGCCGCCATTGCATAAATCAACTTATTTTATATTTAAGAAAAATTAAAATAACATGTTTTTAATATATTAAATATATTTTATTTCACTTTAAAATATAAAGAAAATAAAATAAAAACTATCCAAGAGCACCTTAATGCGCTTGAAATTCATTGTTATTTTCATTTAAGTGCCGTTGTTAGAATAATAATCAATCGTGTTAGTCTATGCTTCGTAAACACAAATACTAAACAATACTACAGGTTTTGTATTCATTTACGCAAAATACAAACTGGATTAACCATACATGAACAGCGGATGAAGAGTAAGAAATTTTCATCCTATAGTGAATTATAAACAATATTGACAGGTTAAAAGTATTTGTCAATCCAAAAAACTTGCTAAATTGATCATGCATGTGCAATTAAATAATAAGAAATTTGCATCCAATAGTAAATAAGCAATACTGACAAGTTATAACATTCGTCAACCCATAATACCAACTAAACTGTCCATAATCGCTCAGTGGAAGAGTAAGAAATTTGATGTTCCAGCAGTGAATTATAAACAATACTGACATTGAATCAACTAAACATAATAAGGATGAAATATACATGATCACATATTATGCAGCGATATAAGTACGAGAATACAAACACAATATAAAAGAATATGGGACATCTTTATTATAAAAATATCTGACATAAATACGACAATATTATATATTGTTAAAAACTAAAAATATAATTTAATAGTTGCAAAAATTAAATAATTATAAAATTTATACAATTTAACTTATTAATTTTGTTCTTCAACAAAATAAAAATAAAAGCCTTGTCAAAATGACATTTTAAACAAAATTAACTGCTAAGGATATTTCAATCCTCTTTTTCAAAAATAAAATCTTTTTATCAGCCATTTAACTTTCCATATTCAGTGCTGCATATTTCAATATCATAAAATATCGGTTGATGCTGTATGATCACTAAAACAAAACTAGGTTTGGAAAAGAATATTGACAAGCTTTTCAAAGAATCAATTTTCTCGAACATGCCTCTAGTGAGTCAAGAAGAAAGACTAATCAATGCTGAGATTAATCATTTTTACACAAAATACAATGTTATCTAAACTACGTCATCACTGAATCAAGAAGAAAGATTAAAGAATTTTGCATAGTTAATGCTTTTTAGTATTCATCAACACACAAATAGGTAACATTCGTGATCCCTGAAATAACGAAGCATTACTGACATGCTTTACACTATTCATCAACAGAAAATACGGAAAAAAGGGGAATTTTTTGCATCGTAGATTTAAAAAATGTTAACAAAAACAATTAACTACGACCTTCTAAGGAGTACAGAAATGATGTGTGCTAGTTATTCTGATCAAAATAAAGATCTGGGCTTTGTTTGTTGACGAAAAGAAATAATGTCAGAAGGCAACATCAGCTCGAAATACATTCATCTTGACTTGCAAATCAACTTACATTGACCAATCAACATTCCCCACCAATAAGCGTCTCAAAAATTTTCATTATACTACTCCATAATTCGTGGCATAGTCACCACGAACTGCAAATCCATAAAAGCAAGGGTTTGGGTTTACAGGTTCTGTTCAGTGTCGCTCACAAAATATTTTCCATGCAGAACACAACAAAATTGCTGAATACTGCGATCCTTCTTTTGCAATCATGAACATAGCATCAATATTCTACTGTTACCATCTATTATTCTTTTATTTAATCTTTTTTATTATATTCTTCACATGGGCTAAGTGGCTGATGCGAATTTTATTGCCAACAGATGTTTAATGATGGTGATTGGAAGGCGACAGACCTTCAGCAACTTATATCAGTTCTCACTTTCCCCATTTGATAATAATATTCTTTTCATTTTGCAGATAATATATGTATGAAATATTAAAATATGATTTTTGCTGTTAAATCAGCTTTACAACAGATATGGAGAAGTTCTCCAAGATCAAGAATGGTACGAATTCTTAAGCAAGCATATTGCAGTGAGGACTCCTGCTTGTATGTTATTGCTTTTAGTCTGATTTTTCCTCCAGTGAGGACTCCTGCGTGTATGTTATTACTTTTTGTCTGATTTTTCCTCTCATCATGGTGCTTTTAGAGGATTTTGCGGGAATGATTTGGCTTAGCCTAACATTATAGATGATCACTTGTATGCAATCCTGTTTTCAATTCATTATTTTTAATGATGCATGATATTCAAACTTTTTATAAGAAATTCCCCGAAGTATTCTAAATCTTTGGTTTATGCTCGTTTTTATTGGTTCGTAATATTCGTTAGATATTAAATGTGTTTGGTTTGATTACAAGTTAATGTTGGTATTTTAGTTCTTATATGTCAAATTTCAGATATTGTTCGCCTGTTGTAGGTTAAATGTCTCGATGTAAATTATTTCATCCAGGCAATTTCATGATTTAGGTTCAACAGCGTATTGTTAATTAAATTGTTATTATATTGATTTTTCATTATATGCCCTTCGGTCTCTACAGCACTCTCAGTTTTTTTTTTTTTTTATAAATTTTATTTTAAATCATAAGAACTTATAAAACTTGTGTACTGGAGAAAGCATTTATTTATCCCCGTCTCTACAGAAATGTTAAGTTAGTCGAATCTAGCACCTGTTGATGCTTACCTGAAATACTTGCTTCAACATTAGCTCTAGAGAAAGCCTTTATCCCTGTGTGTAGAGAAATGTAAAGTTTCTGGAACCTGGCACCTGTTGATGATTACATGGACAATTTAACAGTTTTGTATGGATGTAAGAATTTCTTGTGAGTGTAAACAAGTAATGTGTTTGGCAAATTTAACATTTCTCTTTATACTTTTTCTTGTTTTTTTATTTGATACTTCCCTATGGCTGGCTATGTACCTGTAGTGGGATAAATGTTGCAAGCTTGCAATAAGTAACATGATTTCATGAACCCTGGTAAATGCGTCAGTTTTTTTTTTTTTTTACTTTAATAATATTATTAGAAACTGTTATAAATTTTAGCAGTATATCTGGAGATTATATGCTATTATCACTAGGAGCATTGTCGTTCTAGGGTTTCAAGCCTTAAAAAAAAAAAAAGGTTGTGTACTTGTGTTAGTCAGCAAGTATAAATTTTTTTGAATAATTATGACATAAATTCTTTAATATATTGTGCTAATGTAATAGCGTTCCATGCATTGTATGACTTAAATATTATAAAAAATATGTAAGGGTTGTTGCATTGGTGTTTGGGTGCAATGGTAAATAGGGATTACTCTATTATGGAAGGAGGGGTAGCAATAAGAAGAAGAGCAACGACAACTAAAAACCAAAATACATGAAATTTAAACTTTGGTAGGAATTTGAAATATAGGAACTCTTACGTACGAACAAATTAATGAGATTCATATAATTCATTAGAAGATAAATATTCTATGTATTTAAAAAATTAAATGAGTTGATAAAATGCTAAAAAGCTTGATAGTTTATGACTGAAATTTTGGTATTCATAAAGAAGTTGTACTAGAAATGGTATTATGTATGATTAGAAATAAAAGTCTAAAAGAATAATGCTATAGAAACTAATAAAATTGGTGATAAAATTATAGTCTAATTAATATTATATTTATAGAATTATGCTATAGAAATCAATAGGATTATACCCTTTCCAATTGCACATAACTTCAACTCTAGAATTACTTTTAATGTGTAAAGTGTCAAAGCCTCGATGATTTTTTAAAAAAATAAATAACTCAATTTGTCATGTTTCTCGGCGTATATTTGCATTAAAAATCTTATATTTTAGGGAATTTATAGTTGAAGTGAATGTACTGATGAGATGAACATAGCATTAAAAAAGCGACCTAATTCGATGCTAAATGAGCTCAATCAATCACCTGAAATTTAATTACAAATTTTGATATATTAATTGGAGGATCAAGAGGTTTTCAAATCTTCCATGCTCACAAAAATAGATTGAGCATCTCTAAAAGTAGAATTCAAGGAACCCAACGAAATCTAATCCAACATCAGTAAGACATTTATATGCTGAAAGAATGATCTTTGATTATGGGAACTAATACAATCCAATCAATTGAGTGGTCTCAATTTTGGTTATATTTATGTGGCCTGTCACTTTAATTTTTTTTTTAAAATGTTCTCCACCTTTTACATGAAGGGTGCTTGATGCCCCTTTGCTTAAAATTCAAGAGAATTTATAGGCCTAAAAAATCTCAGAACTCTATTAGATCATTGCAGTTCAACTATTTGTCATTGAACCTTAATTAAACTAGCAGCACTTTTTTTAAGTCTTCTGACCACCTTACTTGATGATGTTCCTTTGACCGTCATTATACAATTAAGATCTTTTGACTATCATGGAAATATTATGACCATTAAACCACCATTGCTAGATTATGATCACTCTACCACAATTACGAGGCTATGCCACTATAGCCCTATAATAACCTCACATGATTACATTTCTTTGACCATCATCACCTAACCACAATCCCCTAATTATAGTTCCCCAACAACAACCTCCTAACAAGCATTACTCAAATATGGTACTTTGATAAGAATGGTTTGACTACAAACCTTTATCTATCATCTGTATCATGCAACATCAGTCATTCAACCATCATCATCCACCTATGTTCACTCAACAATAGTCATTGAACTATGATTGATTGACTATCATCATTTGACCATGATCCTTTGGCCAACATCACTTAATTATGGTTGCTTGACCATTGCCATTTGAATACATCCTCAGGCCATCATCAACCACTATGAAATTTGACTACCATCTTCTGATTATGATCCTCCGGCCAACTTGCTCAATTACTCGACTATGATTCTTCGATCATTATTTTCCAACTCTAATTTTTTTAACAATATTAATTAACTATGTTCCTCTAACCATTGTCACTCGAGTATAGTCATTTGATTACCATCTCCCTAATTACAGTCCTTCAATTATCGGTGCTTGATTGTGGTTCACCAATTACTACATCAATGCATGCTAACTTTGTTGATCGTTGTCACAAATACCATCATCACACAATATCACTTATAAGGCCGATGCACATAATTAAAACCAAATTTGTCTTTCGATGTTAACATTAAGATTTATCCTAGGCTTATTGGCCTCTAGCTTATTCTCTTCAATGAAGATTGGTTGAAGAAATAGTAAACAATCTAGTAACTCAAGGCGCATTCAACTTCCATCGTAAAATTCAATTATGTCTACTATATTGTATCAAAATATTCCCTAAACGTAAGGAAGGGTATCATTAATTGAAGGAAAATGCCACTTGAATCATTCAATTAGTTGTCTTGTGATATTTACCTTTTCAGATTTTTCACATAAGAATTTTTGTGTCTTTTGTGGTTCTCTTTTATTTATATGTATGATGGATCTTCATATAAATTTCTATATTAAAATGTAGTGTTATATAGCTCTCTTAGCTACATGATCTTTATGAATTATAAAATTTTAAGTGTCATATTTTTCTTCAAAATGAAAATGTTCTAATATTTGAAATAATTTGCTTTTATTTTCAAGAGATTGCATCTAAGTGTATCTAGTGTAGTCATCAAGATAGCAAAAGTCTATTTTACTTTCTTCTTAGACTTACTCTATTAATAGGTCCAAATCCATATGAAACATTTCTAATGATCTTATGGTGACTATATTTTTAATTGGATTGAATGAGAACTTTGCTTTCTTTTATCATGCTTCACAATAGTGCTCTTTAAAAAGTCCTATCTTAGCAATACTTCAAAACTAATTCTAACTAGGTGATTTTCCAAAGTTTTCATAAGCTAGCATGTCATTATTTCCTATGACATAACTATCACTCATAAAAAATATTTTCAAAAAATTAACCATCATTTATCAAAGGTTATTTTAAAATAGAAACCATCACTTACAACAACAACAACAACAACATCAAGCCTTTATCCCACTACGTGGGGTCGGCTACATGAATCTTTTTTCTCCATTGTGTCCTATTAAAGGTAATATCATTTTAAAGTATCACTTCTCAAATATTAATTTAAAGTAGCAACCATCACATACTTTCAATGCAATTCAAATCAGATTGTTAATTCTTAATCCTTCCATCATAGTTTTATCATTTAGAATTTGTGAATATTCCTTAGCAAAAAATGTAATATTAAGTTTTTTTATCACAAAGTTTATTAATGCTTAAAAGATTATGTATCATTCTATTAAAAATATTTTTGGCATGGAGAGTTTATCAACTTTACCTAAAATACATCTACCAACTACCTTTCGTGTAATGTTGTTTCTCGATATAAATTTTCCTTTATTCCTAGCCTTCATCAAGATAAAATATTTCCAAATACCCAATTATGTAATATATGCATCTATTGACTATGTACTATTTGCTCTCTCACTGAACCTCTTATAAGAGTACACCTACATGCTTAATCAAAGGTTAGTTTTGGGAACCCAAGTGAGTTTGAGTCCCATCTTATGCTTGAATGTATGAATACAATGTTTGTGATGCTAATGCTTTGGGGCTCCAAATTAAATATTTTCTATGGTGTAATATACAAGTACGTGCAATGCATCATAGCATGTCACACAAATTGAACCTAATCCATTGAGATGGGTTTACTAATCTAAATGGGGGATATGACTTCTTCATATGGAGGTATGATGCATGTTGTGTCCTAGGATGTGGCTTTAATGTATGCATAAGGTCGGGTGTATTATTTTGTAATGTACTTATTTATTTCTTTAAATATACATTTGCACTATTTTTAATGCCTAGTTGAACTAATAATTTATGCTCTTTGCTATCTATTTCTATTACAAGTTCTTCGAACTCCTTGAATATTTCTCTTAATTCAAGATACTTTTCAAGGAATCATTTGTCTTTAATAATTAAACTTTATGTTTATTTAATGAATCAAACTCGTCCAATATGATTTATGCTCTTTAACTAATGCTCTGTGCTCTATGGTTAAACTTGAATTATCTTAAATCAAAGTTTCATGCTATTCTTTTAAAGTTGAAATTTATTTTTTCAAAAGTGATTATATATTATTTTTTCAACTTTTTGTATAAGTCATGCATTTGCTTGAATATTAAAAATAATTCATCGTATGATAACTCACATATGTCATCCTAGTCAGAGTTCCCAATACTATCCTTAGTTGTTAAACATAAGTTAGTTACCTCCTCTTATGGTTCAATTTTCTAGGAATTTGAATCTGAATTCACCCAGAATGCTTTCTATAACTTTTGCTTGCCCTTTTTTGCATTTAGCTTATCCTTATCCTTTCTCTTTGTAGGGTGATTCATAATGTTGGGGCATTCAGATCTCGAGTGTTCATGCTTCCTAAACTTAAAGCAAATTATTTAAGAAGAAAACTTTTTTTTAACCTATTTTACCTCTTCTCTTGTCATAATAGAGCTTATGTTTGTCTTTTAGAAAACTCTTGAATTGGTGAGTCATCAATGATAGGTCATCAAATTGATTAGCTCTTGAATCACCGCTCTTAATGTCATCAGTGTTCAATGCCACAATCTTTTCTTTCTTTCTTTCTCTACATCATAAAGCATTTGGTTAAAATTTTGCTCATAAGCATGGATGATCAACAAAATAAATATGTAGATCTTTAGATTTAGTTATAACAATTACTTTTTTATCAAAGAATCAGACGAACAACGCAATATCTTGTTTACTTTTTCAGAATTAAAAATCTCCTTATCCAAGACATTAAAGATGTGACTATCTTTATGAACCTAGCGTACATATCATATATTGACTCATTAGGATTCATGCAAAATAGTTCGTATTCATATAATAATAGGTTTAATTGTGATTGTTTCACTTCATTTGTGCCTAATTCGTAGGTAATTGAACAATCTATCACAAATCTCTTTTTCACTAGTACCTGTAGATACAAGCATATAATCTTCAAATTTTAAAACACAAAAAAAAGTTTAATCACTTCATATTTAATTGGGTTAAATCTCTTTTTTCAGCAGACCATATAATAAAAGGCATATTAACTTTCATGTCATTAGCTATTTAAGATGGTATATAATTCACATATAATACTTAAATCATATACCACATGCAAAAATGTATAGGGACAAGAATGTGGACATGCGTATTTTTCAAAAATCAAATAAAATGTTATCAAACAATGGTGGATGGGTAATAGAATACCCTTCATTAGTATTTGTGGTTTCTAAAGTGTGCCATTGGATCAAAGTCTTGCTATTAAAACCAAATTGTAAGAAAACATGTTCTGATATCAATTAAAAGTTCAATAATTTGCCAACATACCAAATTTACTTGAGAATGGCACACCAAGAGGTGGAGGTGAATTGATATTTTAAATATTTTTGAAAAATTTTCAATTAAAAATAAATTCAGATTTTAATGTGGAAGAAAAAATTACAACATAAAATAAATAATAATACTTATGTATTTTTTTTATTTTGTAGACAAATGAAATAATAAATTTTTAATTATTTTCAAGCCACTATTTGAACCACATGCAACCCCCACAAGTGTAATCACCACCAAACCAAAGTATTAAAGATCAAATTATACGCAAATAAACTTGCAGAAAGTAAAATGTAAAAAGTATGCAAATCAATTTTATAGTAGTTCAATAACCTTGACCTAACTCCACTCTCCGAAGGATCTCTTTTCAGGTATTACATTAATAAATAGTGACACTCCTTCAGTTTGCGGCTAGACAAAGAAGCTCATACAAACTCTTCTCTCAAAGAATCTATCCTTTCAATTCCTCGATATAATGATAAAGTGTTCATATAGTATGTTTAGTTAAATTTTATTTCAACTTTAATCACAATTAATTAAATATTATTAATATTTTATTTGACTAATTGTGCAATATGATCTTAAAAAAAAAAAGCAAAATATTTAACTTCACTCTCCCTTCTGTATATATGTGAATGGTCCCTTAATTAACATGCACCTATTAAAAAAATTGAGTCAAGAAAAATAAAATTACAGATTCTTTAATATATAATTCAACTCACACTAGCACAACAATTCTTTAATATATAATTCAACTCACACTAGCACAACACAATCTTGAGTCTTGAACCCTTAGTCTTTCGTATATGTTGTTACTTGAAATGGTTAGTAGTGTATAAACAAAATCCAAAATACAGTGTAGGAATAAGTAAATAATCATACAATAATGTTTGCAACGATCAAAACATATAATCAGGCTCTCGGATTGCCATAATATCGACTACTTAGGTAAAACACAATATATATATACATCAACTTGTTCAATTTTTAATAGCTTAAGTAAGTTGAAATCTCACAATAAGCTAAAAATGTATTTATTTTTACTATTTTAATCATCCTTTAAATGTTAAAACACATAAAGTAAGAAACAGTGTCCTTATATATTACATCAAATGGAGCGGCCATGTTTGGAGCTGCTCAATTATCAAGTATCGCTTGCCTCATCATGTCAATGAACTAATATGAAAATATTGTTGTAAGAAAAATAAAATATACGATTGTATAACAAATTCATATTTCCCCCTTTTTGGCATCACCATTTTTCCTACAAGCAAACTCTACATAGAACACGATATATTATACTCCTGTTTCATTGGCTTCTTGCATAGCAAAATGACAACCAGCGACTGCATCGTTTATTGAGATGAAAAACCACTCTTTTCCAACCGCTTCAATGAAATTTGCCGCAGTAAACTTCTCCACCACTTTTAAACTTGGATTTGTTAGTGCCACCTATGATATTAATCAAATCATTAGAAAGATAAAAAAGCAATAAAAAAAAAACATTATCATATTATATATATATATATAGAGAGAGAGAGAGAGAGAGAAGCAAATGCCTTGATCCCCTTCTTTTGAAGCATTTTATGAGCTTCCAACATCATTGCAATGCCACTGTTGTCAATGGCAGACACCCCTGCAGGAAAATTAATTTAATTATTTAAACATGAAATGATTTTAATAGATTTTATGTACTCGTTACAAATCAAGTTCGTTCGTAATTGACTAAATGACTTACCGCTCATATCAAATATAACATACTGTAAATCCTGGCTTCTTGTCTCCTTAATTCTATTCTCTTCAGCTTCTACCCACCTTGCGATCCTATAATTCATTTGATACTTATCAAGTGAAGAAGATTTGAAGTATTTGGTTCCATTCTTGTACGTCAGCTTAGTCAAATGTGGAATGACTTTTTTTTCTTTTTACCTCTCTCTAAGGTAACTGGCATTAGCGAAATAGATGGGAGAGCCAAGCTGCAAGATTAGGATACCAGAAATGGTCTTGGAATCTGGATATTGATCAATGTCGCGGTAGAGATCGGTTCCAGGCAAGTTTCCAAGCTTATATGTGACGGGTCTTGCCACGTGTAGCAATGCTCTTATGATCGACAATAAAAACTGAGAAAAAGTTCGAAGCTTTTAGTCACCAATATGCTTACATATGGGGATAATATTTATAAAATTCAATATGGTTTGATCTTTCTAAAGAGAATTAAAACAATCTAATTTAGAATATACTGCAAAAAAAGAGGCAATAGTTTCTTTTTTTTTTTTAAATATATGCAGCTAATTTTGGCCTTATGTAAAATAATTTTCAAGGTAATCTTTGAGGTGGGAATTATGAATTTTATAGGAAAGAGAGTGATCACTGGTTCTTAAGATGATAACCTCTTAAAATTTTTCAACCAGAAAATATAAAACATAAGATTCAACCAAATAGGGCCAGAATGAGACAATCTCTCGATCGTATAGCCAAAGTCATCAAAAAAAGTTTCAATGTACCTCTAAGATAAGGTCTGTTGAAAATTAAACTTCATTAATTGGGCCTTTTAATTGAGTGGGCTTTTTAATTGAGCTCATAGTTTAGAAAAGTCCTTAGAAAATTCTAAAGTCCTATTTTATAAAGGATGTTTTAGAATATTCTAGAAATACATTCTAAAAGAGTTATTTAGAGAATTCTAGGATATGTAATTAGTAACCTTTGTAAATGAAGATATGAAAATATTCTAGAGAGTCAATAGTAGCCATTGGATTAAAATGTAATGGCGCAATCCTAATGGAGTCACTAGTATAAATAGGTGTGGTGTCTTTGAGTTTTGTATGAAGTAGAATCAAGAACTTAAAAAGTGAAATAAAAGTGAGTTTTACAAGTGTTCATCTTCTCTTTTAGAATTCCTCTTCTTACAATAGCATCTTATTTTCCAACAAAGTGATATTAGAGGACCGAAGTTTCTTTCTAGAGAGATGGCGAGCAACAATATGATCCCCTTCCAAGTCCTAGCGCTCAACAAGAGCAACTATGAAAATTGGAGCATCAAGATGAAGGCCCTTCTTGGATCGCAAGATGTATGAGATGGTAGAGAAAGGCTACAATGAGCCAAAAGATGAGTCAAGTTTATTCCAAGCTCAAAAGGATCATCTAAGAGATTCAAGGAAGAGAGATAAGAAGTCTCTCTATCTAATATTTTAAGGATTAGATGATGACGCTTTTGAGAAGTTTTACGATACAAAGTCTGCTAAAGAGGCATGGGAGAAGCTTCAAACCTCTTATAAAGGAGAGGAGCAAATCAAGAAGGTGCGTCTCCAAACATTAGGAGGTGAGTTCGAAGCCTTACATATGAAAGCAGTTGAAGTCGTCTCTGACTACTTTACTAGAGTCTTAGCCTTTTCTAATCATATAAAAAGAAATTGAGAGAAGCTAGAAGATGTAAGGATTATGAAGAAAAACCTTCGCTCTTTAGATTCAAAGTTCGATCATATTATCACCATTATTAAAGAAACCAAAGACTTGGAGGCTATGACAATCGAGCAACTCCTAGGTTTTTTGCAAGCCTTTGAAGAAAACAAAAAGAAGAAGCAAGTGATCACGGAACAACTCCTAAAGGCACAAAATAATTCAACTAAATAAGTGAGCCTCGACTATGGTAGAAGAGAACAAGGAAGAGGTCATGGTCGAGGACAAGGTCGTGGTCATGGACGCGGACGAGGTTGGAGCTCTAACAAGGAAAAGAATAACAATATAAATTTTGGACAAGGAGGAAGTTCAAAAAGAGGGCATGAAAGAGGGAAATCAAGACCAATGTATGACAAATCTCAAGTGATGTGCTACAACTGTCAAAAATTTGATCTATATGCAGCAGACTATAGAACTCCAAATAACAATAAGGTTGAAGAGAAGGCTAATAATGTGAAAGAGAGAAGTCAACAAGATGGCACTTTGCTTTTGGCATATAAGGAGAATGAAAAAAGGTAAAAATAGCATATGGTATTTGGACACTGGTGCAAGCAACCATATGAGTGGAAGAAAAAGCATGCTCGTGGAACTTGACGAGTTGGTGTGCGGCAATGTATCCTTTGGAGATGAGACCAAGGTTGCAGTGAAAGGAAAAGGTAATATTCTTATCCAATTGAAGAATGAAAAGAACCAATTAATTTCTAAAGCCTATTATGTGCCAAATATGAAGAGTAATATCCTAAGTCTGGGCCAACTCTTAAAGAAAGGTTATGATATTCATTTGAAATATAAAAAACTTTCTATAAAAGATAATATCAGCAACCTAATTGCAAATATATCAATGTCAAGAAATAGAATGTTCTTGCTCAATATTCAAAATGATATTACCAAGCTTCTCAAAGCTTTCTACAAAGACCCATCTTGGCTCTGGCATCTTCGATTTGGGCATCTTAATTTCGGAAGACTAGAGCTATTATCAAAGAAGAAAATTGTGAGAGGTCTACCTTGCATCAAACACCATATCAGATATGCGAAGGTTGTTTACTAGGGAAGCAATTTAGAAAAAGCTTTCTAAAGGATTCAAATTCGAGAGCACGAAAGTCATTTGAACTCATACATACATATGTATGTGGTCCAATCAAGCCAAGCTCTCTCGATAAGAGTAATTATTTTCTTCTCTTCATTGATGATTTCTTAAGAAAATCATGGGTATATTTTTTTAAGCAAAAAATGAAGGTCTTTGAATCATTCAAAAATTAAGTTTAAAGCCTTCGTGGAGAAAGAAATTAGCCTTGAGATCAAAGCTATATAATCTGATCGAGGAGGAGAGTTTAATTCAAAAGAATTTCAAAAATTTTGTGAAGCCAATGGAATATGTTGACCGTCCCAAGATCTCCTTAATAAAATGATATAGCAAAAAGAAAGAATCGAACTATCCTTAATAAAGCTAGAAGTATACTCAAGAGTAAAAACTGCTTAAGAAATTTAGGGCCGAAGCTATTGCATGCACGGTTTATTTGTCCAATTGATCTCCAACAAAAAGTGTGTGGGGAATGACACCACAAGAAGAATAGAGTGGAAGGAAGCCTAGTTTCTCTCATTTAAGAGTGTTTGGAAGCATAATCCATGTGCATGTACTCGATAAGCAATGAAGTAAAGTGGACGATAAGAGTGAGAAGTACATTTTTATCAGTTATAACTCCAACTCAAAAGACTATAAGTTATATAATCCAAACACTATGAAGACAATCATCTATCATGATATCATATTCAATGCAGAAGGAGAATAGGTTTGGGGCCCACATGAAGATCACTACAACTTCTTTAAGGATCAAGAAGTTGACCAGCCAAGGATGGATCAAGAAAGAGATGAACCCACAACACCACCAACTACACAAACTATAAGTACTCATTAGGACTCATCATCTTCAAGTGAAGGGTCAAACAAATAAGTATCAAACTTTAGAAGTTTACAAGAAGTCTATGAGGTAATTAAGAATTAAGACAATCTCACCCTCTTTTGCCTGTTTGATGATTATGAACCTGTAAATTTTCAAGAAGTTGTGCAAAGTAAGAATTGGAAGGATGCAATGGACAAAGAAATCAAGGCAATCAAGAAGAACGATACATTGGAGCTAACTGCACTTCCAATAAGACACAAGGCAATTGGTGTAAAGTGGATATACAAAGAAAAGAAGAATGTCAAAGGTGAAGTTGAGAAATATAAAAAATGATTAGTGATGAAAGGTTACAGCCAAATTGCTACCATCGACTATGATGAAGTATTTGCTCTTGTTGCTCGACTTGAAACTATAAGGCTAATTATTTCTTTGGCAACTCAAAATAGGTGGAAAATACATCAAATGAATGTAAAGTCTTCCTTTCTAAATGGAGTCCTCGAAGAGGAAGTTTATATTCAATAACCACAGGCTATAAAATTAAAGGGCAATAAGACAAGATTTTGAAGCTAAAGAAAGCTCTCTACGGGTTAAAACAAGAACCTAGATCATGGAATAATCGCATCGACATGTATTTCCTTGAGAATAACTTCATTAAATGTCCTTATGAGCAAGCCCTCTACATCAAAGTCAAGGATGTGGATATTTTGATAGTGTGCTTGTATGTGGATGACTTGATCTTCACTAGAAGTAATCCAAGTATGTTTAAGAAATTCAAGAAAATGATGGCTAAAGAGTTTGCGATGATAGACATTGGACAAATGACAAACTACCTCGACATTGAAGTAAAGCAAAAGGATGAAGTCATCTTTATTTATCAAAAACGCTATGGATAAAAAATACTCAAGAAATTCAATATGAATGATTGTAACCCCATAAGCACTCCGATTGAATGTGGAGGGAAGTTACCAAAAAATAAGAATAATGAAATGGTTAATCCAATATTTTCAAGAAGGTCAAGTAGCTTGCTAGCACTAGGCCAGACATCCTTTATGTTGTTGGAATTGTTAGCTGTTAGATGAAGGCACCAACAACTATACATAAAGGGTGTCAAGAGGATTCTTTGATATATTAAAGGAATGATCAACTTTGGTATATTTTATTCAACACCAAATGATTTCAAGCTTGTCGGATATAGTGATAGTAACTGGGTCATAGACTTGGATGAGCGAAAAAGCACTACAGGGTTTGTGTTTTACATGAGAGACATTATTTTTACTTGGATGTCAAAGAAGCAACCAATCGTTGCCCTTTTCTACTTGTGAAGTTGAGTATATTGCTGCAACTTCATGTGTCTGTCATCCAATTTGGTTTCAAAATTTAATGAAGGAGTTAAGATTGCCACAAGAAGAGCCAACAAAGATTTGTATCGATAACAAGTTAGCTATCGCTTTGACCAAGAATCATGTTTTTCATGATTGAAGTAAACATATGGACACACATTATCACTTCATCAGAGACTGCATCACAAGAAAAGATGTGCAAATAGAGTATGTGAAGACTCAAGATTAAGTAGCTGATATATTCACCAAGCCACTCAAGCATGAAGATTTTATCAGGATAAGAATATTACTAGGGATAATAAATCAAATTTAAGAGGGGGTGTTGAAAATTAAACTTGATTAATTGGGTCTTTTAATTGAGTGAGCCTTTTAATTGAACCCATAATCTAGAAAAATCCTTAGAACACTCTAGAGTCCTATTTT